TCACCTGATGTGAAGAGCCACCTCATTGGAAAAGACCCTGATGCTGGGAAAGACTGAGGGCAGGAGGAGAAGGGGATGTCAGAGGACAAGATGGTTAGATGGCATCAGTGACTCAATGGACATGAGTTTGCTCAACTCTGGGAGATAGTGAAGTACAGGGAAGCTTGGCGTGCTGCAGTCCACAGGGTGACAAAGAGTCGGACAATACTTAGTGACTGAACACCAACAACAAATAATACTAGTTAATACAAGATTAGGTACAGATCTATAAATATAGATATACAGATAGAACTATTGAGAGCAAGAAAACCTTTAGGGATAATTGAAAAATCAGTGGTTTAGTATCTTTAACCTAAAATAATTAGCCTTTTCTCAGTTCACAGAAGCAGAAAATCCAAACGAACAGGTTTGTGTGTGTGTGTTTTCCCTCAATTCTTAATTAGCAGAATGATTTGGCGGGTTTGGTTAACTGTCAGTGACTCATCCAGAAGCATTTTCAGCATGTGGTTCAGGGCTAGTAATACAAGTGGAACAGGTCTAGAAGTACAACTGAAATTCTCCCTAAGTTTTATCCCCATCACAGGCTAGTAGTTAAGGTACAGAAAGTAGTTAAGGTGCAGATTAGTTATCAGCTCAACCAAAATGAATACTTCAAAGGAAACTGAACATCAACACAGTGAAGCCTGTTGAAAGAATAAGGAGGAGGAGCCTGAAACACCAGAGTAAAATGGGATTGGTGTCCCACCCGTGTAAACAAAATTGATTCTCAGTTGATCAGAGATGACAGCTTCTGTCCCTGTCTAATCCAGTTTCCCACAGTATAATCCCTGTCTGAAGTTTCAGGCCCATCTCTGTTTCTGGGCACTTTTTTTTTGTTTGTTTTATTTTTGTTTTTTCACATGTAGAAAGTTCATCAGCAGCCTGTGCTCCATTTGCTTGTGGAGTTTAGAATTAATTTCCCCTCCCCACACAGAGGATTTAGTGGTTCAACCATGACTTCCTATTCCCATGTATTCTTATAAACCCCACAAGTATTTTCTCTGTATTGACCCCGAGTTCCTCTCAAAACTTGATCTCACTGATGCCCAGCTACTAAAAATCCCTCCCTGAACACCTGCCTGAAACTGGAAATCCTATGACTTTGCTTAGTTTCTTTTACCAGTCTTGCTTGTATGTGCCTTGCCTCAGCTGCTTCACTGCCTTACTTCTAAGTTGGACCAGCTCTCAGGATTTCTTAGTGGAAGGACCTCCTATTGGTCCTGGTAACTACAGGAACCTTACCACTGGATATGTGAGATCTTAGTTCCCTGACCAGGGATCAAACTGATGCCCCCACGTTGGAAGCATGAAGTCTTAACCACTGACTGCCAGAGAAGTCCCACATCTGCTTTTAATATTTGGGAAGCCATGAACATTTTGTGGATAAAAATTCAAAGATCAGCTGCTGTTCCTCATTGGAGTAAAAACTACATTAATAATTAAAGCAGTCTTTTACTTTCTTGGGCCTACCTGGTGGCTCAGACGGTAAAGAATCTGCCTGCTATGTGGAAGACTGGGTTTGATCCCTGGATCAGGAAGATCCCCTGGAGAAGGGAATGGCTATCCACTCCAGTATTCTTGCCTGGAGAATTCCATGGACAGAGGGCAGAGTTGGACACGAGTGACTAACACTTTCACTTTTGACCTTCTTACCTGTGATAACCTTGTTGATAGAGATGGGAGTAGACATACATTGCTTGGCTTAATATATCAGAGTATGATGAGCAAATTTTCACCATAGTATATATGTAAAGACTGCTGATGTAAATATTGTTATGAAGATCTGTTGTTATTTAGTGTTTTATCTAGTGCTTTTGTTCAAATGAGCTCTCCTGTTTCTGAGAAGAGAATTCTATATTGATGTCTCTCCTGCAATTATTTCTCAACATTGCAGGATATGCCATGCTGCTTGGAGTTTATTCACTGTAGCCGAGAGCACTTCTTATGGGTTAACTCTTGTTCCCTGTCTAACTGCTCCTTGTCACCTTTTCACAGGTGAAATTCTCCTTGTTTGTCCAGCTTAAAGTCTGTTGCAGTGACTATTCCTTAAGAGCAAACAGTTCATTCTAGGTCTTTACAGTACTATTTTTAAAGTAGTGTGTGATTTATGAGTAAGTCTTATGCAAACTAAAAACCCAGCTAATGTAAAGACTCATCTAGTCAAACTAGGGACCTGGGGTGACTGTAGCTAGAGATGCTGATAAACTTAGTAAGAAATGTGACCTCTTAAAGTTACTATGCTGAATTAGAATGTCAAACATAAACTTGCAAACATATGAATAATATTGCCTTCATTCAAATAAAAGTTTCACGTTAAGAGAAGAAGATGAGAAGTCTGAGTCAACAGTGTAAAATGTGACAGGTTATATTAGCAAAACAAATAGGAGGAAGTCACCTGAATTGTCAGCCTGTACTCTGGTCGCCATCTCTCCCTCACACTGAAACTGCCTTTGCGGCGCTGTTTCTAAAGCCTTTTCACAGTTCAACTTAAGTTAAAATAATAACTATTATTACAAAGGCATAATGATTTGAGGCAGATTTTCCTTTACTGTGTAAATGACATGAGAATAGATGAGTCCTTTAGAATGATCATTTGGTTCATATAAGTGTCATTTTATTAAACTTAATATCCTCAAATTTTTAGGTAATCACTATTGTACTTAACTGTGCAGTAAAATGGGAAGATTAATAGTGCTAAAAGAAACTTTCAAGTGCCACATAATGAACAAGAAGAGCAGGTGTCGTCTAAAAGCTCAGTCTTTCATTTCCTGTTTGAAGTTGGCATTGACCTCGGTATTACTCACAATGTCCTGGATAGTAAAAAGGCAAACTTTGCAGTTTAATTTTTTCAGAACAAACTCTTTTAAAGATAAATATCACATTCCAAATGACTTAGTATTTATTTCAATAATAAGGTTTAGTGTGCCCCATAGTTTAGCATACAAATAGTTATGGATTCCATAAGTTTTATAAATTTATATTTTACAAGACAATTTACCCCAGGGAGTTCAGGGCATTTTCATGTCAGTAAATTGTTGAATTAATAAATTTTTGACTAATTTTTTACTGCTTCACATCCATGATGATGGCTATAGTCAAAGAGACGATGATAAGTTTTAATAAGGATATGGAGGACTTACCACCCTCATAATTGCTGGTGAGAATGTGCAGCCACACTGAAAAGCAGTTTGGCAGTTCCTCAAAAAGCTTAAAACCTGAGCGACCATATGACCTAGCTATTCTTTTATATATATATATATAATTAATGCCTGGCCTTCCCCAAAAGTTAAACACACAAGCTGACATTCACCTTAAAGCCTTGCTGTGTATTAAGTGATGTGTACCAATAGGCCTGAATGGAACTTCCACCACTCTGAATGTGACATACTTGTAAGAGTGAAGTAGCCTGTAGCAGGAATCTAATGCCTTCTTCTCTGATTATATTTTACATGTTCTTGTCACAAGAGTGAAGCGATGTCCTTTAAAACACGTTTCAAAGTTTATCTGACTTCAGAAATATCAGCTAAGATTCTTATGTAATAGTGGAAAGATCATTACTGTGGTGTCAAACCTAGCTGGATTTGAGACCCCCTCTGAAATCTACCAGGAACTTCTTCCTCTTGAAGAAATGAATTAATCTCTGAACCTCTGGTTTCTCATCTGCAAAATACCTAATAGAGTTGTGGGATTAAATGAGATGCCATGGATAAAACAGACTGTACTTTCTGCTTCTCTGGCCTGCATGTACTCTTGTTTCTACTTCTAGGGCATTTCCACCTTGGACTTCTTCCTGCTGTATACTCTAAACACACATCTACACAAACTGAGTTAATTCTTCTTCCTGTATGTACCCATCAAACCTAGGGTTTATCTTATTGAAGCGCTTATCTTGTTCTATTGAATTTGCATATTTATTTGCATCTCTTCCCCAGAAAACTAAGTTCTTATTTTTTTTTTTTTTGGCACACCACGCAGCTTGTGGGATTTCAGTTCCCCAACCAGGGTCTCAGTTCCTGGACCAGGGACTGAAGACTGGCCCTGGCAGTGACAATGCCGAATCCTAACCACTAGACCATGAGGGAGCTTCCAAAAAATAAGTTCTTTAAAGGGGAAAAAAAATTGTCTTCCACTGTATACATATTTGCCTGGCATGGTGACTAGCTCAATAAATATTTGAAAAAAGTGAATTTTAGGAACATCTAGCATTATACTGGGTTCATAATAACTCCCTGAAAAGGCATACAATGCCTTTGTTTTGCTTTCTGTTAGAACACAGTCAACTTGAAGCATTTTCAAATCTATAATATGCAGTGATTTATAGGTTAAATGGAAATGTTTTTATTACTAGTTATACTTGTGGAATGAAGAGAATGTTTCTTATCTGTACTGCAATAGACTGCTGATTGTTATATATTTATCTTTGTAATTTGTACATTATGTTTTCTTAATAAAAATCAAATATATGTTTACTAGCTTAAACATTTATTTTACATATGTCTCAGGAGTTGCAAGTTAATGCATATATTTCATGCCATTCTTCTCCATTTAATATTATTTAGACTTAGAATGAAATAGCAAGGTTGGAAACAATGCTATAAATTTAAGAAAGCCTATGAAATATATGGAAATTAAGTCATTTTAAGTAACAGCTGAACCTTATTCTTACCATTTTTATTTTAAATGTCTTATCTTGCAAAATAATAATAATAGGTAAAAACTATTTTGGAATGGGAAGAATGGTATAACGGAGCAGTAGAGGAAGTTTAATCAGTATGTTTTGTTTCCCGGACTTAGCATATTTCCATACACACGACCATCTAAATTATTTACAAAAGCTTTGCTGAAGAAATAAAAGTTATTAACTGAATAATAATATAGGGATACTGAACAGGTAGGAGTACTGCTTATGTTTCTATAAATTGGAATTTCTTTTTTGTTTTACAATTGTTTTCTTTTTTCAGGTACAGAGAACTACAACTTAGTACAGAAAGCAGAGTAACAGAATTTCTCCATCAAAGTAAAATAAAATCTTTTGAAAGCGAGCGTGCTCAACTTCTACAAGAGGAGACTGCAAGAAATCTCACACAGTGTCAGTTGGAATGTGAAAAATACCAGAAAAAATTGGAGGTACATATGGAAGCTTTTGTTTTAAAATTAACACAGAATGTAAGCTCTGTAAGCATAAGGTCTGTATTATAGTGAGCTTTTTTTAAAAATAATTTTATTTTTCATTTAATTTTGGCTGTGCTTCATCTCTGTTGCTGCACTTTCTTCTAGTTGGAGTGAACCGAGGCCGTTGTGGCACTTGGGCTCAGTAGTTGTGGCGCACAGTTGCCCACGGCATGTGGAATCTTCCTGGGCCAGGGATTGAACCTGTGTCCCCTCCACTGGCAGGCGGATTGTTAACCACTGGACCACCAGGGAAGTCCACAGATCATATTGAGCTTTATGTGTTACGTATGAGAAGGAGCCGTGTCTTTAATTTTTAAAGATATCTTATCAAGAGAATGTATCTTCCTCTTTTAGATGAAAAAGGTGGAAAGAAGTAATGGACAGCCCCTAAGAAAAGAAATGCAGATTGCCATAGGTCTGTTTGTTGTTTTCAAAGTGTTGGCAGAAGTACCCTTAAATGGTAAATCTCATTTAAGGAGAAAATGGACCATCCCTTCTAGAGAATGGTATGGTAATTTGTGTTAAAGTCCTTAAAAAATTGATCCAGTAATTTTAGTTAAAGGAACAATGAGGTGCTTGTTGAGAACAAGTAAGGTTTTATGTTCTTTGTGTACATCACAGCATTATTTATTATCATAAAAACTGGAAGTGTCTTAAATGTCCAACAATAGATAATTAAACAGTTTTTGACTAGTATGTTAAAATTATAAATTTCGCTATATTCATACATTGTATGATTATGTACAGTCATGTTCTTCAATATTTTAGAATCAAGGAAATTTTTATTTAAAATGCTGAATGAAAGACGCAATAATATCATTAGCATGATTAATTAATGATGTAAGTATTCATTACAATAAACTTTCAGAGACTACAGTTCAGAAAAGTACTCTGATAAGTAAAACTAAGATTAACGGTACAAAAGGAACTTCCCTGGTGGTCCAGTGGTTAAGAATCTGCCTCAGAGTTCAAGGGGCACATGTGTTAGATCCCTGGTTGGAGAACTAAGGTGCTACATACCACAGAGCAACTAAGCCCACACACTGCAGCTGCCTGGTCCTTGGGCACTGGAGCCCATGCACCACAAGTACTGAGCCTATGCACCAGTACTGAGCCCATGCTGCACAAGTACTGAGCCCGTGCCCCACAAGTACTGAGCCTGTGCCCCACAAGTACTGAGCCCATGCACCAGTACTGAGCCTGTGCCCCACAAGTACTGAGCCCATGCACCACAAGTACTGAGCCCATGCACCAGTACTGAGCCCGTGTACCACAAGTATTGAGCCTGTGCCCCACCAGTACTGAGCCTGTGCCCCACAAGTACTGAGCCCGTGCACCAGTACTGAGCCCGTGTACCACAAGTATTGAGCCTGTGCACCACAAGTACTGAGCCCATGCAACCCAACTAGAGAGTCCGTGCACCACAGTGACAGAGCTGCATGGTACGACAAAGATCCCACGTGCCCCAACTAAGACCCAGGGCAACCAAAATAAATAAATATTTTTTTAAAAAACAAAAGTAACAAAGAGTCTTACAGAAAATAAAGCGTTAGGGGAAAACATAAAGACAATGTTAATTAAATAGTACATATTTAAAGAAAAATGAGTAAAAATTGTAGGTGATACCTACTTCTAAGTAAACTGGTGTTCTGCATTTAAAACTTTTTTAGGTACCTTCTTTGGGAAACTGCTACAGTCACAATCTGCTACAGGCACCTCTCCCACACATTTTAGATTAGATTAGCTCTGCTTTGGTGTTCATCATCTGCAAAATTTTTATGGTTTAAACTTTGTAATTCCTAGCAATTTCTTTTTCTTTCCACATCAGATGGCTGTGCTTACGGATGTGTTTGGGGTGAGTGAGGGGTTATATTTAGGAAAGTAGAAAACCACTTGCCCTCTCTGTGTACTGAAACAAACATTTCATTAACCAATACTTTGCAACACACAGTGCTGGTGTTTTAACCATTCTATCTTATTGTTTTAAGCTGGTTGTAGTCAAAACTGATTTCATGACCTCCTAAAGGTTGCAACTTGCAATATGAAAACCACTTTTCCATAGAGATACCCACTTAGTCTGTGGCTGCAGGTGACTAGTAATTATTGAGCTCCCTTGTGTAAAGGCCTTACATGGAGAAACACCTTTGTGAAAAACACTATGATTGTAAAAACTTGGGTTGATAAAACTGAGGCATTAGGAGAATTTCTTTAGTTTCTCCTCTGTTAAACTAAGATCTTTAAGAGGACAGGGACTATTTACTTACTATTGTCATCAACGCCTAACATAGCACCTCACTCATAATGGATGCTCAATAAATATTAATGAGTGAATGAATGGTTTGATGCTGTGCTGTGTTCAGCCAATCAATCGTTGCTGACTGTTTGTGACCCCATGGGCCGTAGCCCACCAGGCTCCTCTGTCAATGGCGATTCTCCAGGCAAGAATACTATGGACTGCCATGCCCTCAGGGGATCTTCCCAACCCAGGGATTGAACCCAGGTCTCCCACATTGCAGGTGGATTCTTTACCATCTGAGCCACCAGGGAAGCCAAGAATACTAGAATGGGTAGCCTATATCTTCTCCAGGAATTGAACGGTCTCCTGCATTGCAGGCAGATTCTTTACCAGTTAAGCTACCAGGTAAGCCCCATTTATAATGAATTCAGAGAGAAATAATGTTGTAAAGGGTAAAGATTACTGTAATTATATACTTTGTGATGGCTTTTACCCAATATTCTCATTGATTTATGCTTTAGGGACAGTATTTTATTTTTTTTCTTAATTATCAGTTTCCAAAAGCTTTCCAAAAACTGGCTTTAGGACTTTCTTGGTGATTCAAGTAGTTAAGAATCCACCTGCCAGTGCAGAGAACGCAAGTTTGCTCCCCAGTTCAGGAAGATCCCGCACTCTGTGGGGCAGCTAAGCCCCTTCCACAGCTACTGAGCCCAAGCGCACCTAGAGCCCATGCTCCGCAACAGAAGAAACCACCGCAGTGAGAGGCCCACACCACAACTAGAGTGTACCCCCCACTCGCCACAACCAGAGAAAGCCCTCAGGGAGCGATGAGACGTAGCACAGCCAAAAGTAAATAAATGGCAAAATATACTAAAAACAAAAAAACACTGGCTTTATATTTTTGTCTCTTTTTAAAGCAATTATTGGCCTATAATTTTGTGTTTTCATTCATTTTATGTATGTTGTCTATATAATTTTATATAACTTTGTATTATCATTCTGTTATTTAAAAGAAGGAAATATCCACTGTGAGTGCATGATATTTAATGGATTCTTAAAAGCAGTTTACATATTTTTTGCATTCATGATTAAACTCAGATGTTCATAGATTGATTTTTCCCTAAAGAATCTTTAATGTAATGGCCTTCCATAGGTCCAATAATCATGTTCTCCAGTGGACTTTCAGAAACTGTAATAAATTTATTCATATCATCCACTCAGACAAATCCATGATAAAAGAGAATTCTCTACCGTGGTGTATCAGAGATTTTGAAAGCTACCCAAGTCAAAAGTTTCTGGCCATCTCTTCTTTCTGTCATGAACGAGAATTTTAAATTGTACCTCTCAATTTAATACTACCTTTCAGTCTCTTCTTAAAATAGTACTTTATGAAATATGTCGTCTCCAGCATTTTAGTTCTTTGTCTCTTCAGATATCCATTTCTGCAGTTTTTCTTTTGTGGTTTTGTTGGGAAAGTGAGGTGTAGATGAAAGGTTATCAGCCCTGCTGTGAGAACCACCATTTAACACTGTCCTTACTGAGCCTCTCTACTGACAAAGGCATTAATGTGCCACTGACAACCAGATTCTTAATGAATTACATCCCAACTTAGTGAACTCTCTGAAACCCCAGGTTGTTTCACTGTGTAGTGATTTTGTTATAATAAATTCTCTAGAAAGCATTTCCAACCAGCAAGAATTAATGCTACAACAGGAATTTTCTTTTTCTGGTCCAATCAAGGACACTAGAAATCATCCTACAAATATTACTCCCATGTTACTCTTTCTCCATCTTCCAAAGGAATGTATTTAGAGGATCGGGGATGATTATTAGTTTATTTGCATTTGGGAGGGTGTTTTGATGGAAATAATTTTTAAAAATGAGATGAAACAGATTAAATTAAATCAAAATTTCTGCTAGGTAAAAACTGTAAATAGATCTTCCATATCTTCTTTCTCCCTATCTCAGGAAGCAATCACATACATTTGTTAAGGTAAACTTTATGTCATTAGAGAAAATAAGTTTTCTTCAAAATTGCTTAATAATAGAGAATTCAGGGTAATTAAAGCAGTACATCTCATCTTTATGAACCATTTAATACAGAGTACTCATACTTCTGTTTCCTGCAGTGGTAATAATATTTTTTAGCACTTTTACTATATTCTAGTCACTTTGCTAAACACTGTGATTTTATCCTCTCATTTAATGCTTCCAATAACACACTGAGGTAGGCCTAGAAAGAATAATTACCTAAGATCACAACGAGTAAGTGTCAAAGCCAGGATTGAAATCCAAATCTTTCTGGCTCCAAACCATATTCTTACCATAATATTCAATTGCTTCTCAGGAAATACTGCATTCCTTATGCTGTGTTAAGAAGTAAGTATAATACCACCCCATAATTTAGTCTGTACTAGTAAGTAAATTTTCTAGATAGTTGCAATTTAATGTAAGCATTAAAGCATTCCTTTGTCACTAGAAATGTCTCCTTCTTGGTGAATTCATTATTGTCACCCTAGTGATTTCTTCAGTAAGTTACCATAGGAAAATACAGGCTTTTTTCTTCTACTTAAAATAACTCCAATTTCCATGTCTTTTATATCTCTTTTTAATAAATTTTTTATACTTTCTTTCTATACAAAGGCATTTTCTGGTACTGTTCCAAATAGCACTTCACATTTACATTTTGATTTGCTGCTTTGAATTTATGATTGTTTAGCAAACCAAAAATCTTACTAAAACCATGGTCTGGGTAAATGAAATAGTCTGTGGTAGAAAACTGAAAGACTCATTATGAGTATGTAATTTTTACACACAACTTTGCAGGTCTTTCTCAAGTATCTATGATCACTAGATAAATAACCTCCACCTAGGTGAGGAGTATAGCATTATTGCATTTTTTGAATTCTAACAAGCAAATGCCAATGTTACTCCTACAACTTTTCCTAAGTTTTAAATTTTTTTCAATTTATATAAAAAGGTGCTTCATAATTTTCAGTTCAAAACAAATTATTTTCCTCAGGAACAAATGTATTTACCTCTTCAGTCATCTTCATTGAGCTTTCTCTTCATATCTAATCATTAAAAAATATTTTTTGCTTCATGTTTTCATCCTAACTGCCAACCTATTTAATTCTGCCTTTGCCATTTTTTTTTTCCACTTCTAGGTTTTAACTAAAGAATTTTATAGTCTCCAAGCCTCTTCTGAAAAACGCATTACTGAACTTCAAGCACAGAACTCTGAACATAAGGCAAGGCTAGACACTTATGAGAAACTGGAAAAAGAGCTTGATGAAATAATAATGCAAACTGCAGAAAGTAAGTCTCCCCACCCCAACACACACAGCTTTTTCTTCTGACAACACAAGGAACCTGATACTGTTTCTAAAACTGCTTTGCTATATTTCTTTGAAATGTTACTTGTGACTTTCTTTGAAAGAATACTTTGTATTTTAAAAATTAGTTAACCTTAATTCTAGTAGTTTGAGAGCAAAAATATATATTTGTCTCACTATGATAGATTTTATCTTTTCATTTATTTATTTGTTTTACTATTTCATTTCACTCATTCAACAATAAAGTGATTACATATGCCAGGATCTGGGGTGTAGAGTTCATGCAATAATTTTTATAGGTATTCCTAGTCTATTCTGCTGGGAGAGACAAACATGTCAACAGATAATTAAAGTGCTATTAGCAAAAGAGAGGCAGATCTTGATAAGTACAGAAGAGATGTGAGTTAATTCCTTGTTGGAGGTGAGGAATCCCTAAGAGGGGAGATAACATTTGAATGAGTCTTGAAGGACAGATAGAAATTCATTGCACACCATGTGTTAAGACTTTGACCTTTAATTTCTACTTCTTTTTCCCCCTCTTATTTGCCATCTTCCTGTGTTGTCCTTGACTCCAAGAGAATATTGCAAATTAACACTTCACCATTGGCTGAGATGTTTGCTATAGTACATTATTTCTATTCAAAAGTCAGAAATGATAGTGGCATTCTTATAAAAGTGGGTTTAATCTTCAGCTGAAGTTAAGGTTGACCCTATCTGGGGTACCTTTTCTTATGAAGACTGTATTATGTTGGTATCCCAATTTAAGGAAAACTCTTTTTCATTTCTGTCATTGCCTTTTTTTAATTTCCATGGTCAGTGTCTGATAACTGCAGTAGTTTCCAAATTTATCCTCAGTTTCTTCATGGCATCTGAATAACCTCTATAAAATATAGATTTGACCATACCATACACCTGCTTTAATGCCCCTATAAACATAAATCAGCCCAAGGTCAAATTCCTTAGCATGTCTTTTTATGATTAGACTCATTTATCTTTGTACTTTTTCATGCCTTGCCATTCTTATCACCTTATTTTGAAAGTTCTATACTCTTTTTTATCTCTATAACTTTGCAGATGTCCCTCTGTTTAAATAAATTAGTAATAAAAGAAAACTTCCTCAATCTGATAAGAGATACCTGTAAAAAATATACAGCTAATATAACTAATGATGAAATATCAATTGCTTTCCTTTTAAGGGAGAGAACCAGGCAAGGACTTCTAGAAGGATTGCCTTCTAAAACCAGGCAAGAAGTTTTCATAATTTCTATCAAACATTGTATTTGAGCTCCTAGCCAGTGTACTGCTGGATAGGATAAATTTTACCAAGATCAGAAAAGAAGAGAAAGACTATATTTTCAGATTACAAAGCGATCCCTGACACTGATAAGTAAATTTAACAGGCTATGACAATTACACGAAAATATACTAGAAGCAAACAATTGGAAAAAGAAATTTAAAAAGCAATTTCCTTTACAATGGTATCAAAAAACACAAAATATATAGGAATAAGTTTAACAGTACTAAATACAGATCATTGCTAGGAAAAATTAAAGAAGACTCACTAAAATATCCAAAGATAAAATCATGAATTCTGTTAATTTGGTGTTGTTCCAATCACAGTTCCTTTTTTAACATTTTAGTATTCCATTTATGTGAAAATTCAAAGTCTACTCTTAATAATAGCATGACACACCTACCACAATGCCTGAAATTAGCAAGACTGACTATTCTCAATGTTTGTGAGGAAGATGTTCTTATAAAACCAAACAACCTATCCAGTTATCCAGCAATTTCATTCCTAGTTACTTTCCCAAAGACAAAGAGCATATGCACACTAGAACAACCAAAATAATGTAAGCGGATCAGGGGGAGGAACACAATTGGAAGACTTACACAGACTGACTCAAGACTTAATATAAAGCTATAGTGTCAAACTAGTATGCTACTGGTGTAAAGAAAGACAGATACAGTAACAAAATAAAATAGAGAACTAAGAAATAGACCCACACCTGTCTGATTATTTGATTTTTAATAAAGACAGCAAACCATTCAACTGGAGAAAGGAAAGTTCCATACATGGTGCTAAAAAAATTGGACATATTTTTGAAAGTGAGCCTCAACCTTATTTCATACCATACACTAATACTAACTTAAGATGAAACTTGCAAGTAATAAGTAAAACTATAGATCTCTAGTGGAAAACATGATTGTTTTTGCAACTTGATGCAGCTCAAAATTTCCTAGATAGGTTCCTGAAAGGAACTATAATAAAATAAAGCTTTACTAAGTTGATTTCATCCTCTTTTAGAAGACATTTTTAAAAAATGAACTAAATTGCAGAGTAGGAGAAGTAATGATAGTCTTATGTCTGACAAAGCAATGGTATCCATATTAAGAAAATGACTCAGAGAAAATATTCACAGAAGTCTTGACATAAGATTATCCAGATGGGCCTATCTCAAGTGTCCTTGTAAGAAGGTTATGTGATGATGAAAACAGAAGTTGGAGAGAGGATTTGAAGATGCATAGAAAATGTTAAGAAAGTCATAAGAAAAAAATATATTTACAGTACTTCCCTGTATCTATTAATACTGTGGGTTTACATCGTCCTCCCATGCGGCACTAACAGTAAAGAACCTACCTGCCAATGCAATGAGACATGAGAGGCACAGGTTCAATCCCTGTGTCCGGAAGATCCCCTGGAGAAGGAAATGGTAACCTACTCTAGTATTCTCGCCTGGAGAATTCTGTGAACAGAGGAGCCTGACAGGCTACAGTTAGGAAGTCACAAAGAGTTGGACACAGCTGAAGCAACTTAGCATGCATGCATCTACATCAATATTGTTTTAAATGATACAAACCACTGTAGATGTTATATGTATTGCTAACACTGTATCCAAAATGAAACGATAGATGGACCTAGAGGTTATCATACTAACTGAAGTAAGTCAGAAAGAGAAAGACAAATATCATAATATCATTTATATGTAGAATCTCAAATATGGTACAAATGAACTTAGTTACAGAACAGAAATAAACTCACAGACATAGCAAATAAACTTATGGTTACCAAAGGGGAAGAAGGAGGTAGGAGAAGAATTAATTAGAGGAGTTTGGGATTAGGAAATACAAACTACTATATGAAAAGTAGATAAACAAAATAGATAAACCTACTTTCTAACACAGGGAACTGTATTTAGTACCTTGCAATAAACCATAATGAAAAGAATATGAAAAGGAATATATATATTCACTTTGCTATACATCAGAAGCACAACATTGTAAATCAACTATATGTCATTAAAAATTAATATTATAAAAAAATGAAAAGATAATGTGAAGAAAAAAATTCACATTTATTTACAGGTATAAAAATTCATGCATGGATAAAAAAGAAGCAGCAATATCGCTTTATCACAGCCCAGTATAACTGATATGATTATTTCAGGGTAGCCTAGCCTATATATACTAATGAATGAATCACTATAAAATTTTTGTAACATACAGTATTATAGTCATATTTACATTACAGTATTGGAAACATTGTTTAGACCTTTTAAGAAGCTCCTTACCTGTGATGATACGCTAATATGCAGTTTCTTCAGTTATGAGAGAGAGACATACAGTACAGTAATTGTTTGACAGCAAAGGTTATAAAACAGTAAGAAAACTGACACATTATTAATTTTGTTAAATATTACCTATGCCTGTATAAGGATAGACTAGCATCTACATATACTTGATGCATTCATGACTTACCTTATTCTTAACTTTTTTTTTGATATTTTAAGGCTACATGGTTCACCAAGTTTTTTCAAATTGTTTCAAATCTCAAAAAAATTTTTCCAGTGTATTTATTGAAAAATATTCATGTATGAGTGTGACCCAAGCAGTTCAAACCCTTGTTATTCAAGGGTCAACTGTATATATTTCTCCAAATGCATTGAAGTGTAGACTTAAGATTTGTACCTTTCACCATGTGTCAATTTTATTTTTAAAAAAGAACTGTAAATAATATTGAACCATAGTTGATAATTTACACATTGAACTATTTGGAGTGAAGGCTCAGGACTGCAACTTCTTTTGAAATTCATCAACAAATAAGATAGATTCACGAATGTGTAGCATTCGTAGCTCAGATGGTTAAGAATCCGCCTGCAATGCAGGAGACCTAGGTTTGATCCCTGGGTTGGGAAGATCCTCTGGAGAAGGGGATGGCAACCCACTCCAGTATCCTTGCCTGGAGAATTTCATGGACAGAGGAGCCTGGCAGGCTACAGTCCATGGGGTTGCAAAGAGTCAGACACAACTAAGCGACTAGTACAACAACAACAACAGCATGGATGAATACAGTGATGGACAGATGTGTGAGAAATAAATATAGTGCAATGTATAATTTAAATTACAGATGTTGGATATATGTGTACATTTCTTTCAGGTTTTTCATATATGTAAAAATTGTTAGATTTTTCATATATGTAAAATCTTTAGAAAATATACAGAAATTAATTTTTTTCTATGACATGTATAAACCATATCTTTGTTAAACTAGATTTATTTGTACTTGGAAGACCAGTAAACTAGGTTCTTTTCTATCCATTTACACTGGAAATTAGAATATTCCTATCCTTGTTTAATGAATAGTTAACTGAAAAATGAAATTTGTGAGATGTAAGGGCAAAACAGAGAAGGCAATGGCACCCCACTCCAGTGTTCTTGCCTGGAAAACCCCATGGACAGAGGAGCCTGGTGGGAGGCAGTTCATGGGGTCACTACAAGTCGGACATGACTGAGCGACTTCACTTTCACTTTTCACTTTCATGTATTGGAGAAGGAAATGGCAACCCACTCCAGTACTCTTGCCTGGAGAATCCCAGGGACAGAGGAGCCTAATGGGCTGCCGTCTATGGGGTTGCACAGAGTTGGACACGACTGAAGTGATTTGGCAGCAGCAGCAAGGGCAAAACACTCTTTTTTAGTACCATAGTGTATACAGTACTCAAAGGATTATCGTCTAATTCCTCTCATTTCAGCTGACACAAAGATGCTTAGACTTTATTTATTAAGGTGTAACCATGACAAGAAAAAAATCTCAACAACCCAGGTAACCATGATGGTGTGGTCACAAATTTCAAGCCAGACATCCTAGAGTGTCAAGTGGGCTTTAGGAAGCATCACTACAAACAGCTATTGGAGGTGATGGAATTCCATCTGAGCTATTTCAAATCCTAAAAGATATTGCTTTTAAAGTGCTGCACTCATTATGCCAGGAAATTTGGAAAACTCAGCACTGGCCACAGGACTGGAAAAGGCCAGTTTTCATTCCAATCCCAAAGAAAGGCAATGCCAAAGAATGTTCAAACTACTGTGTAGTGGTGCTCATTTCACGTGCTAGCAAGGTAATGCTCAAAATCCTTCAAGCTAGGCTCCAGTAGTACATGAACCAAGAACTTCCAGATATACAAGCTGAATTTAAAAAGACAGAGGAACCATAGATCAAATTGACAGCATACTCTGGATCATAGAAAAAGCAGGAGAATTCCAGAAAAACATTTACTTCTGCTTCATGGACTACACTAAAGCCTTTGACTGTGGCTCTCAACTTAATGTGGAAAATTCTTAAAGAGATGGGAATCACCACCTGAGAAACCTGTATGCAGGTCAAGAAACAACACTTAGAACCAGACATGGAACAATGGACTAGTTCAAAATTGAGAAAGGAGTATGTCAAGGCTGTATATCTTCAGCCTGCTTATTTAACTTATATGCAGAATGTACATCATGCAAAATGCTGGCCTGGATGAAACACAAGCTGGAATCAAGATTGCCAGGAGAAATAACAACCTCAGATACGCAGATCATACCACCCTCATGGCAGAAAGTGAAGAGGAACTGAAGAGCCTCCTTAATCAAGGTACAAGAGGAGAGTGAAAAAGCTGGCTTAAAATTCAACGTTCAAAAAAGTAAGATCATGGCATACGTTCCCATCACTGCATGGCAAATAGTTGTGGAAAAAAATGAAAACAGTGACAGTTTATTTTCTTTGGCTCCAAAATCACTGCAGATGGTGACTGCAGCTCTGAAACTAAGAGACGTGTGATCCTTGGAAGAAGAGCTATGACAAACCTAGTTGTTGTTGTTCAGTTGCCAAGTCATGTCCACCTCTTTCTGCCCCATGGACTGCAGCATGCCAGGTTTCACTGTCCCTCCCGTCTCCCAAGGTTTGCCCAAGTTTGTGTCTGTTGAATTGGTGATGCCATCCAACCATCTCATCCTCTGTCACCCTCTTCTTCTGCCTTCAGTCTTTCCCAGCATCAGGGTCTTTTTCAGTGAGTTAGCTGTTCACATCAGGTGGCCAAAGATTGGAGCTTCAGACAGTGTATTAAAAAGCAGAAACATCACTTTGCTGACAAAAGTCCATATAGTCATATGTATGGTTTTTCCAGTAGTCATGTTTGGATGTTAAAGTTGGACCATAAAGAAGGCTGAGCATTGAAAAATTGAAGCTTTTGAACTGTGGCTCTAGAGAAGACTCTTGAGAGTCCCTTGGACAGCAAAGAGATCAAACCAGTCAGTCCTAAAGGAAATCAGCCCTGAATATTCATTGGAAGGACTAATGTTGAAGCTGAAAGTCCAATACTTTGGCCACCTGATTCGAAGAGCTGACTCACTGGAAAAAACTGATGCTGGGAAAGATTGAGGCCAGGAGGAGAAGGGGACAACAGAGGATGACATGGTTGGATGGCATCATCGACTGTGCACATGAGTTTGAGCAAGCTCCAGGAGGTGGTGGAGGACCAAGAAGCCTGGTGTGCTTCCGTCCATGGGGTCACAGGGTCAGACATGACTGAGTGACTGTACAGTAACAACCCATGGCAAATTGCAGTATCCTGTTTACACTTGAATTGCTTTTTGCAATTAAGTGTAACATTACGTTGGAGAAGGAAGTGGCAACCCACTCCAGTATTCTTGCCTGGAGAATCCCATGGACAGAGGAGCCTGGCGGGCCATGGTCCATAGGGTCGCAGAGAGTCAGACACAACTGAAGCAACTAAGCCCGCACATAATATTAAGTATTTGAGGAGTTTTCTTTTCAAAGATCTCATCAAGTTGTTAAAAGTACAGGTATTGTCCAGAAAGTAAATAAATTTTTTTGTGAATATCAGATTTCTAATTGTCAATTGAGGGACCTCTTCTCCATCCTCCTTCTACTTGTAAACTCTGCTAAGCATTTGTCACATTTTTCAAAACTCTTCTCTTGCTTCTCAAATCATCACTTTTGATTGTTTCTTCTCCATAGTCTTTATTATCTCTTCTTCTATCTAACTGTTTCTAGTTCCTGGGGCTTTTTTCCCCTCATCCTCTTTAACTCTTACCTATTTTCTGGATAATCTTATCCCTTTGCACGATTTCAGTTAGTGTCTGTAGGCTAGTCACTCCACGGGTCTGTATGGAATTCTATTTTTCATTCCTTCCCTAAATCCAGTTAATAATAGTAACTAACTTGTGAGGAGTTTTCTTTTCTCATTACTGGAATTTTTTTCCTATATAAAATCAGAGTTAACAACAAAAATATATTGGTCATGTTACTTACCTATTTTAATCACTTTTAACTTCTTGTTATCTTGTTGTCTATAGAATAAAATCCAGACTCTTTGATCTAGGAAATGAGACTACTACCATTGTTCTTCAGACTACCTAGCCACTTTCCTCACAATTATTAATACTAAAACTTATCTCTGTGCCTTTACATGTTAGAGTTCCTTCCTGCAACTTCTCTGTAAATGTCATTCTCCCCACACCTTCTTTATGCCTCTAGCATGGGGAAAATGGTAGTACTCGGTTATTAGTTGTGCTTCTAAGACACATTCATATGTCTTTAGTACCATTTACCATGTTGAATAGTACATTGCTTCTTTAATTAAATCATCACTAGCATAATTATACCGTGAGTTACTAATCAAGTAAGTATTAAACTCGAATTTAAGTTGTCCATCAGTATCTGATGAGATTTTGGGATGTTAGCTAAATTTACTCCTCTCTCTTCTGAACTTAGAACTGTCTAAGACAAACAAGAATCAGATGGGTATCTAATGCCAGCTCTATCTCTGATAGAGATGAAGTGAAGTCAACTTGGATCTGAGCAGTGATGGCTGATAACACGACTGGCCATGGCACCAAACATCTCTCGCCTCCACATGTCCCTCATAATTAACAATCTGACCTCTGAAAACTGATCTTGGTTCAGTGTGAAAATTAGAGTCAAAATTGAAGAAAAACGCTTACAAATATTCAAAATGTTTACTGTACCACAGCAGGATCAAACAACAAAAAAGGGCCTACTACAGTCATAGGCCTGCAAGTAGCTTCCTCACTAATGTAAAATCTGTGGCATTGTTTTAAACTTGAAACACTTCTGAAAGTAGGTTTCTCTTTTTGACATTAAAATAATGGTTATCAATGAATAATGTCATAAAAGTTGTTATATGTCATTGACTGCTTTAAATTGAGCTATAAATCTTTAGCTTTTATGGCCTTTGATTAAATGTTTTTTCATCTCAACTTCTAGTAAAATTGTCATTGCATTTAAACTTTTTACCCATAAAATGTTAACCTGTTGGTTAAAATTTCTTTTGGGGAGCATGTGACAATAATAAAATTTTAAAATAATAAATTTTAAAATAATAAAATAATAAAATAAATAAATTTTATTTATTTTGCTAAATTTTTTGTAATTAAAAAAATCATCAATAGGTTGTTAGACTGTACTTTTTCTTTACAGAGTAGCCTACTTAAATGTATAATTTCATTATTGCAAGTTAGGATAACTTGATAACAAATTAGATAGCTTTATCTTCTGATAAAATAAGGAACATCTTTCCTAATTAAAAATAGTCATTTCTTTTATCAGGAAGAGAAGTGATGAAATTGAGGTTATCTTTACTTTTTCATAATTATGTAACAAACATTTCATGCAAAAAGCCTTTGAATCTCAGAATAAACAGTCTGTATTATTATGTTTTATAACAAGACAACTGAATGTGTCATATGATGCAGTCTCTCACACTTTGAAGCAATAGATGGGACAATTCCAAGCAAGCATACACTTTATGAAATACGCTGCTACTTACAAATGGCCTGTTTGAGATTATGCATGATCCCTTTCAAGTGTTCTTATGTTCACTAATTCATTATTATGAACTCTTTTATTTTCACTTATGCCATGCTTCTTAAGAAGAAAGAATTTCACAGTGTACACTTATTATTATTTTCCAGTTGAAGATGAAGTTGAAGCTGAAAGGATTCTTTTTTCCTATGGCTATGGTGCTAATGTTCCCACAACAGCCAAAAGACGACTAAAGCAAAGGTAAGATCAATATATATTTGTTTACTTATCTAGTCAAGCTAGATGTAATTACATTCTGCTTTTTGATAATGTACTAAGTGGAGTGACAAAGTTACTGTATTTCTTCTTATGCATAAATATTACATTGCTCATGAAACATAGCATAGTAAGTAATAATCATGCCTTTCATGTATTTTTAAGTAGACTGTAAGTGTACATTAGAATTTTCCTCGAATTGGATTCAGTGATAATGGCAGCATTTAAATTTTTTCAGGTTAAAATTAGCAAATGTGTTTCCTTTGTTCCCTTGTTTCATATTCGCCTGCGTACATTCCTTGACTTATACTTGAGAGAGAGAGAGAGAGAGAAAGACTGAGAGAGAGACAGAGAGCTGGCATATATGCACTAAGTCTGACTCTCTGCAGCCCCATGGACTGTAGCCCACCAGGCTCCTCTGTCCATGGGATTCTCCAGGCAGGAACACTGGAGTGAGTTGCCATTTCCTCCTCCAGGGGATCTTCCCAGCCCAGGGGTCAGACCGTGGCTCCTATGACTGCTACATTGCAGGAGGATTCTTTTACTGCTGAGTCATCAGGAAAGCCCAGCAGATATATTGTGACTGAAAATATAAAAGACTTTATGAAGACCAAGAAAATTTTTAGAAGATCCACTAGTTATTTTGTGAATTTATTTATTTAAAGTATACCAAGAGAAAATTATACCTATGTTAATTGCTTTTCTAGTTGACCTAACTCTTTTCTCCCACCTAAATTCATCCTGCTTTGCAAAAAGAGTTCCATTTGCTACCATAACAAATCTAAATGTTTCTACCAGACTTCTGAGCCCTTCCATGTAGCTCTACTTCTCCAGCCTTATTTGTCTCTCTACCCAAAATGATTATCTCCCTGCCTATAAACATCTATTTTCCATGTAACCACATAACAAGCATTTGTCTTTATCTCGCTAGCTCTCATTCCTATATTGCTTCCCCAGCCAGATGGAAAGATCCTCAAGGTCAGCAAGTACGTCTTATTCTTGTTTATTCTCCATTGTCTCTACCCAGCATGGTGTGAGACAGCTAGCAGAATTGTCTGTTCATATGAGTATTTGAGGATTCAAAGCTGCTTGTTTATCTGTTGTTTTTATATGAATTGATTTAAACATTTAGAGACATTACATACTAAGTAAGAAAAGGAATTAATCTTAACTCTAATACTTCTATAGAAGCTTTGGCTCAGAAGATAACATGTCTTTATGGCTATCAAAAGTGATATAAGATACAGGTCATTTTATGAGAGGTAACAAAAAGATGCTTAGAACTTGTGTTTCCTGCTAGTTACACTAAATAGATCAAGGATAGTTGACTACTAGATAAAAAATTGTAGCTGGAATGGTTAATTCTGTTTAGTGAAGATGCAAGTATTTCTAAATTATGTATTATTTGAAAAATTGGGTGTAATCCCATTCCATTCACATTCTTCCCTGAGTCCCTCCAAGTCACTAAGGGTGACCTAGGATAATTTGTCATTTTCAGAGTATCTCTGTATTTGAGGATTATATTGCCAGGGGAAAAATGGAAAAATAATTTTAAGGGCAAGCAACTTTTTTTGATCAGTGGCAAATGATTGGTAAAATGCTAAAAGTTGAAATTTGAAGGAGAAAGCCCGTCATTTTCTCTATTCTAGGATCCAGTTCCTTCACATGCATCTTGTTCACAAGGAAGAAAACTTTTCTCCTGTAAGGTTTCTTTTGGTAGCCCCAAATGCTGAGTTATTCTAGAATTGAAAACAAGTGTTACTATTACCTTAATATGTTTTTTGGAATTTCCAAAACAGATGTTGATTTCTTACTATTTAGACTGGAAATATAAGGAACCATAACTGATTCATGTTCTGTATAATCCTAACTGTCTGCCCAAATATTTCTAAAGATTTTATCACTGAGCTATCTATGTGCCTTGAACAAGTGCCTAATGGGCATGCTATTAATACCTCCTACCAGCTGGTGCCAGGCATTCTTCTCATGATGAACCAGAGGGTTATTTTGAGGAAGTGCTTCTCAGGTCATCTAAATGGAGTGAAGGGAAAGTAAGTCTGGACAGCCAAAGAGGACATTTATGCATTCCTTTTCCCATTCATTCAACAACTTTTATTGAGTACCTACTGTACACACAAAGTTGACCCGTGGCAAAGAAAATCCCTTTTGAGGATCTGATGCATTTCTGAAGTTCGCAAAGTCCTTATTTGATTTCCTAATGGATATTTGTAAAGAAGTAAATGGCTTTGTGCTTTAGGTTTAATTTATTTAAGATTGTTGTATGGCAGAAACCAATACAGCATTGTAAAGCAGTTATCCTCCAGTTCAAAAAAAAAAAAAATGAAAGCAATATAATCTTCTAGAAAATTTATATTTAATTCATCACATTTGAAATTAAAACAATGGAAGCTTAAGGTGACTTATAAAATAACAGAATGGCCAATGAAATATTTGCATAACAAAGTTTCCATTATACATCAGCCCATAACAAAATGTATTGAAATTTCAAAGGAGCTTGTTTCACATCTGCTATACAATATACACCATTCATACAGTGTTTGATTTGAAATCTCATATATTCAACAACCAATTCCCTGGTTGGCTCAGTGGTAAAGAATCCGTCTAACAAAGCAGGAGATGCAGTTTTGATCCCTGGATAGGGAAGATCCTCTGGAGAAGGAAGTGGCAACCCTCTCCAGTGTTCTTGCCTGGGAAATCCCATGAACAGAGGAGCCTGGCAAGCCACATTCCAAGGGGTTGCAAGAGAGTCAGACACAACTTGGGGACTTAACAACAAATATTCAACAACCAACTTAGGTATTTCAGGGTAGCACTTAATTGGAGGGGGTTTCTGATTATAAAAAGAATACATGTGTATTTTAGATAAGTAAAATTACCAGTAATCCTGCTATCCAAAGATAACCATTCAAAAATGTATACAGATAGATATATTTTTCTGCATATTTATGGTGTTATTGTATGTAACTTAGAAGTTTAACTTTTTGTCTTCTAATTTTACCCTGAACATTTTCTTACATCATTGGATATTTCTTCAAAAAGATAAATTTTAATGGTTATTCAAAACTTTAGTTTGTAGGCCTTCTGTTTTTGAGTGCCATTTGTAAATTGACAAGTCACTGAAAATTTTCACTAGTTACCTATTGCCACTTAAGGCATATTATGAAATTAAAATGAGAAAATGGATGCAAAGTTCATCACAGTGAATGCCTGGCATTGAGTAGATGTTCAAGTGAAGTTTGTTATGTTAGTTAATGTTTCTTAAAATAAATTGATCAAACCATTGATTTTAGAGATAAAGCCAGTGTTCCAAAAATGCTGGTGAGGCATAATTTGAATTTTCATTTAAAACAATTTTGTCTTATTGTAATGAGACCCTCTTGAGGTAATTAGTAGAAACAACCCCTGGACATGAAACTAGTTTGGAGATTCACATTCTTTGATATAAGTCAGTTTCTTAAAACATAGACCATAATGGCAGTTTCCCATAAAGAAGTGACAAAACTAACTTTTCAAAATTAGTTTGAAAAATAAATTCCAGAAATGTATCCTAAATGCATTATAATTGTTAAATAAGGTTGCTCCCAGTTTGAATTTTCAAGAGAGATATGAGCAATAACTAAATATTGTATTAAGCTTTCTGGGTCAAAGTCATGGGAAGTTAAAAGGGCTTAGACAATTAAAGCAGATTAAAATAAAATAAGCTCTTCTTGACTTGACTAAACTTGAAAACCTGAAGTAATGTTTTTGTTTCGGTCATGATTGTTTTGAAAATAGCAAACAAGATTTTCTGGTTACATGTTTTGGTTATGCTCTTTAGCTTGTAACACTAAATGGGCAACACCCAGGCACTAACGTGGTCCTAGTGTGTGCATCTCTATTTGTTTTGGCAGACCTGAATGTGGAGACTTTTCTGAGGGTTTTTAAACCTTTCAAATTGCAAGATTTACTGCATACTGTTGACCTTTGTTTTAGTTTCTGTCTAGTTTTATAAAGAGCTTTAAGTTGAAACTTTCACAGTAGACTAATCTTTATAATAAAGGAAAAAATAACACAGAGGGAGCTTTTCTTTTCTCTAGCAGACTTTTGAGCATAAAGTAATTTTGTTTTCCGCTCCTTTATTCTCACATATGTGAATTCTCATTTTTGTCCTTAGAGAAAAGTTGTGCTTATTTCATTTGGGTAGGTTTTAGGAATAGTCCTTTAAAAAGCTACTGCTAATCAACTTGAAAGTTTAACCCTACAGAAAAACTAGAAAAAGACATAAAACTATAGGTAATCAGAATATACCACTATTTATTTAGTCCCTGTAACTGCCAAGAAAGTGGGCAGTGCAGGGAGCAACCTGATGCTTTCTGAAGCTGAAATCATTCTGGCCTGTGTGCCCTTTTTTTTGACCATTTCTTCATGCCAGTTCATGTCCGAGACAGAACTCTGACCTTCTAAAACTGTAAAAGACCAAAAAGCCAAATGTTATTTCAGAGTATGTAACTAATTAGGAGATATCTGAGTATATTCAGTTAGTTATATAAGTTTTGGTAATACTAAGTGAAGTATCCGGTATTGAAGGACTCAAGACAGAGCGTCGGTCACCCATTGTGCTTTGATAACTCAGATATGAGTGAAGGTCGACCATGTTCACTTCGGCTGGGCTATGCTTCTATGAAATTGTGTGTGATAATCAGAAGTGCTGACATCCATTGACAAATCCAAAATGGTAACTTTTATTTGGAGTCAAGAGGTGCTGAGGAAAGCTAAGAGATAACCCATGAGGAATTAATTTTAGCATATAAGAGGTAAAAATTTAGTTTAAAATTTAAATACAGAACTATACTCTGGTGGTATTAGTTTCTAGTTAATGTCAAATTTAATCTTGGTGCAGGTAAAAAGAATCACGTGGCAATTATGTAATTACAAAGAAGAATTGAATGCTGTACCTACTGTAATATCCCAACAAAGAGCCTGTA